TTGTCGTTTAGAACTTTAGAACGTCGTATCCCAACAATGACTGGCTTGACCTGAATGTCAATAATGCTACAGGCAGACGGGTCGATTTTGACCTTGAAATCGATCTCATCTGACAACTTACAACTGCAGTCAAAACGTTTGATTTGCACTCCTTTGGTAGACCTGGTACGGGATGCTATGGAGTCATGTACTTAGTTTTACTTGTGTGCCCTATAAGAATATTATGTAATCAGCAGCATTCCACTGTTGTCACTGTGCCACCATGAATCATTGCCAGCACTGCTGCTGCTGCTGCTGCTGCCCACTGGTCACTCTAGTTCTCACGTCCAGTGGCATTACCGAGCACTTGCGCGTCTAACCGGAAATGACCGCCACCATCTAACGAGAGAATCAGTCTCTCCGAATCCCTTTTTATTTATTTATCTTCTACCTCACGAAGCAACGTGACGTCCCTGCACTGGAAGCGGTAGCGTGACAAAGCAGTACACAGCAAGCACAAGTGTCGAGTGCACACACCTCCCTTCAAGCTCACGCTCACGCTGCTCACTCAGCAAACACAGGCAGCAGCCGATATTTAATTAACGCGTGGGTCCACTACGATGATCATACGATCGCGTGACGTCACAGCAGCAGCAGCAGCAACGACGAGTTGTTTACGAAAAGGGTTTGCCTGAAGACACACAGCAAGTGCTGCACGTCAACGTGCGTCATCACTCATACACGACGTACGCTCGTGTTTCCCCGCGCTGCTGCGCAGTTGCTTAATTGAAATAATCGTCGACGAATGTCCTCATCTTAAATAACATGTTTTCCCACCTCGCGCGGCCGCACGCACACACACGCCACGTGTGCGCACGCACACACACGCCACGTGTGCACACGCACACACACGCCACGTCTGCGCACGCACACACACGCCACGTGTGCACACGTACACACACGCCACGTGTGCACACGCACACACACGCCACGTCTGCGCACGCACACACACGCCACGTGTGCACACGTACACACA